GCTGAAAGGTTATGAAAGGTGTCCAAGGTCACAGTCGCACACTGCGGCAGACAAGCAAGCGTGGGCACCCGGCAGCTGCCCCACTGCCCGTTTTCTGGCTCTGCGCGGGCCACAGCCTCGCCAAGGGAGGGGATCACCAAGCCGCGTCCCCAGCGCCCACCGACAGAGAGCAGGCACCGGTGGAAGCCGGCAGAGGACGAGCGGAGCGGCGGTCGCGGGAGACCACCTGGACGCCAGACGAACGCCTTCCCACGGAAGGGGTGAGCAGGAGGAAAGCACACTTGGGAGAAGCAAATCGTCGTCCTGCTCGGCGGCCGCAGGGGAGATCCGGCCGAGACCGCAGCGGCTGACCGCGCGGACTTCCCGCGGCTGAAGCGAGACGCGGCGCCCAACTCCGGCTCGCCCACCGGCCCGCGCAGTCCCGGAGTCGAGTCCAAACTAAGGGGCCGGGGCGCCGGGGGAGGGGAGGCGGCAGTTGCTGTTAAGAGTTTAGACCAATCAGGCCTCGGCCCCACTTCTCTTGGCCAATAGGAAGTGGGCTAAGGCGCAGAGGCGGAACGTGCAGCTACACGAGCAGGCACCGGAGCCAATCAGCCGTGGGCCTCGTTCCCGTCCGCCAACCCGCGGTAAGAGCGGGCCTGGGGGCTGGGGCCGGAGCAGCTGTCAGGCTGAAGTCCAGCGAGCCAGCGCGGTGGGGCGGCTAGAGGAAGCGCGGCGCCGGCCCGGGCCCTGGAGATGGTCCCCGGCGCCGCGGGCTGGTGGTGTCTCGTGCTCTGGCTCCCCGCGTGCGTCGCGGCCCACGGTGAGCGGCAACGGGCGGGGCTGCGCTGCGGGGCGGGGCTGGCCCTCTAGCTTGCTCGCGTGTCGGGCGGGGAGTCCCGGGTCACCTTGGGGACCCCGCGAATTCGGGACAGGGGAGGTCTGGGCGTGGGCGATGGACTGAGTGGGTGGTAGTCCCCAGGGACATGAGGAAGGCGCGGCCGGAAGACTCTGAGTCCTCGGCTCCTCACGTCTAAGCAAGACTCCTCTCCACGCCCCCAGTAGCGCCGACCCAGATGGCTGAAGGGGTGACTAGAAGGAACCAGGGACAGCTAGAGAGATTACAAGCTGGAAATAGGTATGTGAGCACTCACGTGGGCATGCAGGAGCACACATTCTTACACGTGGGCCCGCGGGTGCAGGCACGCACGTACACACACAACCTGTTTGCTCCTGAAGGAGCACATAAACGTATACACCCATACACACGAGCACATACGTATACCCACACTTGATTTACACAGATCAGCAGATGCAACGGCCAGGAAAAGACGTGTGTGGGAAAGTGAGTTCAGTGTTCAGGCTTCTTGGGAATGTATCTGATGGGAAATCCCCATTCCCCGGGGAAAAAAAGGCTTAGAGACCAATGCCAAGCCAGTGAAACTTGATCTAGTGGCTGAGTTTTGGGCAGTGGAGAAGGGCAGCTAAAGCCACAATCAGTCCTAACCCTGACACACAATAGTGGCTTGATGGTTTGTTGACTGACTACTTGACCTGTGGCGGCAGCTTCCACACTTCCACATTCCTCACTTGCTGGGCTAAGGAAACCAGTGATTCAAGTCTAGGTAAAAGATTACACTTTGGTGCTGAAGAGAAGGTCTCAAACGCCAGAAAAATCTGGTTGTTCTGAAAATTCTCTTCCTCATTGCAATGGAGCTGAAAATAGTTGTTCACTCCTTCAACAACCTTTATTGAGCACCCACATATCCTAGCCGCTGTTACATAATGTGGATACAGCATTGAGCTAAGTTACAAAACTATAGCTCTTGCCTTAGTGGAGGAGACAGACATTAAACAAAAAATTATAAATACTATATAATTACAAATTATGTTGAAAATGTCAATGGAGAAAAAGCTCATTTTGAAGGGGCATGGGGGAGAGCAGTGATAGGGCAGGTTTCTCTAGAGACATTTAAGCTATGACCTAACCAATGAGTAGGAGTGAGCCAGGTGAAGAGGAAGAACTGGGGTGGGGTAAGGGGAGGAAGCCGCCCACGTAGAGGGAACAGTTGCAAGAAGACTCAGAGAAGTGAAGAAACTGAAAGGAGGCCAGGAAGGAGTCGGTGAGGTTGTAGCAGGAGCCAAGAGCCAGATGGAACAGGACCACACTTAAAAGCTTAGATTTTATTTTTAGTGCAAAGGGTAATTGTTGAGGGGTACTGGAGCCATAGGAGTAGTGACCTGATCATAGTTGCTCTAAGATATTTTAAGAAGCAGGACACCTGGGTGGCTCAGCAGTTGAGCATCTGCCTTCAGCTCAGGGTGTGATCCCGCAGTCTGGGGATGGAGCCCCACATCGGGCTCCCTGCAGGGAGCCTGTTTCTCCCTCTGCCTATGTCTCTGCCTCCCTCTCAAATAAATAATTTTTTAAAAAGATATTTTAAGAAGCCCCCTGACTGTTGTTTGGGAGAATGGACAGTAGAGAGAAAAAATGGAGGCAGATAGACTGGTTAAGAAGCTAGACCTGTGAGGACAAGAAATGATAGTGGCTAGACTAGCGGGATGGCAATGGAACCAGACAGAGTCCACTTTTAAGGCTACCACGGCTCCACCTTGAAACTCTCAGGTCCACTTCAGAGCAAAGACAGATTCATCCTGAGAGAGAGAACACAAGGGCTCTCCTTCTTCCTGGCTCCCCTGCATAGCAGCAGTGGCGGCAGCTGCTGATCTCTCTGGGGTTGCTAACTCTCTCTGCATCAGCTCTATCCTTCCCAGGGCAGAGAGCATCTGTCTCACCCACCTGGAGGACTCACTTGGCTGAAGTTGGGTCCCTGAGCCCAGACTAGAGCCAGCCCTGTTGAAGACAAGGTGTCCACGATCTGAAATTGAAGCAGCTTGTTCTCCGGAGGCATCTCACCCGTACTCTTTATCTTCCAGGCTTACGCATCCATGATTATTTGTACTTCCAAGTGCTGAGTCCTGGAGACATTCGATACATCTTCACAGCCACACCTGCCAAGGACTTTGGTGGTATCTTTGTAAGTTCAGGGAGACCCTGTCTCTGATCTTGTCTCCACCTCCAGCCCACTAAGTAAGGTGACTCTCTCATCCCTTCAACCAATACTTGAGTGCTGGGACAGAGAAGGGTGCAGAATCCAGCTCTGTCCTCCCAGGACTGCTGTGTAGGAAGAAAGGGCTTCCAGCTAGCTACCCTCCTGGGTGTAATAGGACCTGGACACCAGACAGGGACAAGTTGTCTTCGGGGACACGAAATAGTGAGGAACCAAGGGTTCTGCTAGCTCTGTCTGCACTCTGTGACTTAAGGCAAGTTACTTCCCCTTTGTGGGTCCATACCAGCTCCCCTATGTTGTTCATGGAAAGGCAGGATGGAGTAGGACAACTAAGATAGCCCTTGGTGAGAATTTAGTAAAAATCAGTGCCCAGCATACAGAAACTACTATTCACACTTTGTGAGGAACTAGTAGACCAGCCTGGTCTTAAAACTGGCAAGTCTCCTCACTCTGACCTATCTAAATGTCTTTCAGCACACAAGGTATGAGCAGATTCACCTTGTCCCTGCAGAACCTTCAGAGGCCTGTGGGGAGCTCAGCAACGGTTTCTTCATCCAGGACCAGATTGCTCTGGTGGAGAGAGGGTAAGGAGCAGAGAGGCACAGGCATAAAAGGAGGACAGGTGTAGGGTGGATTCTGAGATCAGTGTTGGTGGTGGCGCTCTGAAATAACTCACGTTTTTAATGGTCTTTAAGAAATGTCTTAAGGTTCTCCATGATTTTTGACCATTTACTTATGAGGCTTTATAAAAAATTCCCCCTGGTCCTTTCATCCTTCCAGTGTGAGTCTGAGGGCTAGCTAGGAACCTGCCTTTCCTTTGGTCTTATCACCACCTCTTCCAGGGGCTGCTCCTTCCTCTCCAAGACCCGAGTGGTGCAGGAGCACGGCGGGCGGGCAGTGATCATCTCTGACAATGCAGTTGACAATGACAGCTTCTACGTGGAGATGATCCAGGACAGTACCCAGCGCACAGCTGACATCCCTGCTCTCTTCCTGCTCGGCCGAGATGGGTGAGGGCTCTTTGTCTCTGGCTGTATCAGCACCAGGCTGGGTGCCACGATTTGGGGAGGTCAGGGGCAATCACCAGTCCCTTCCCCGCCAGCCTCAGTTGGAGGGCCAAGAGTCCTTGGGCCAAACAAGTTGGAGGGCCAAGTCCTTGGGCTCTAGAACTCCCAGAGTGATGGGGACAGTGGGGCATGATGGGGTGCTGAGAAAGTGACCATCACCACCTCTCTTCATGCCCTCCCAGCTACATGATCCGCCGCTCCCTGGAACAGCATGGGCTGCCATGGGCCATCATTTCCATCCCAGTTAATGTCACCAGCATCCCTACCTTTGAGCTGCTGCAACCGCCCTGGACCTTCTGGTAGAAGAGTTGTTCCCACATACCAGCCTTAAACAACTCTGAGCTGGGAAAAGAAAATCCAGGAAGTCTGCTCTTTCGGATTTGGGGATAGCATTTGGGGACAGGGGGAGCTGGGCAGAGGAAAAAGGCTTGGGCCTTGGCTATGCTAAGAGAAGCCATGCTGCTAGCCTTCCCTCCCTCAGGGAACCCCCAAACATCTCATGCCTTGGGATGAGGCAAGAGTCAGGCCCCAGAGCTTCTTGGCTAGAATCTGGAACAAAAGAGGCTAAAGGCAGGTGGCCAGAGATCCACTTGTGACTTGTCCCATCCCACCTGGCTCCAGCCTCCCCCTCCCAAGGTCTCCTCAGTGTACTTCACAGCAATTGCTGGAGTGGTTCAAGGAGCTGGTGTTTGAGGAATTAATAAACCCTCACTGTCTTTTTAGCAATAAAGCCTCTCATCAGGGTTGCAAGCGTGTCCTAGAATAAGAGCACACGGGTGGGAGGGGCTTTCATATTCCTCTGGTCCCATGCTTGTATTTTGAGGGGGAAGAAACTGAGGCCCACAGAGGGTAAATGACTTGCCCACGGTCCTTTAGGACCAGTGCTTAGGTGCTAATCTTGGATCCCAACAGCCTGCTTCCTGCTCAAGAACTCAGGAAGCCATAGTTCAGTCCCCTGAGAAGACTCTTCCAGTAGCCTGGTCCTGGGGATCCACACTAGAACTCAAAGGACCTGTGCTCTTGGCATTTAGAAACATTTGCACAGCAGAGTGTGGGTGCAGAGTGCAGAGAGGAGCCCAAACTGAGAAGCTGCAGCTCCCATCTCCTGCCATCACCTGGTCTAAAGCCAATTGCCTATGCACCACCTATGTGACTGCTGGGTGTCCAGACAGCTTGTTGAGTCATTCTCCATGAAGCATTCCTGCAGAGGCCTGTCACCACTCATACTTTATTAAGAACAGTGGGCAGGCAGGGGCGAGAGGGGGGGTGGGGGGTGCTGGCTGCTGTGAAGGAGTTAAGAACCCGATATACCAGACAGGTGGGCACTAACTGGCTCATGATCTAGGACAACCTACGGGGTGGGCACCTGCCCTCCCAGAGATCCCTCATCAGGGGGTGTGTGGCAGGCTCCCCAGGGAAGGTAGGCAAAGAAATCTCAAGTGATGGTCTATAATTCCCATAGCATCCAACCCAAGAGTGAGGGGTGGTGCTAACCAAGGGGAGGGTGATACAGTCAGGGCTTATCTCAGAAAATCTAGCCCAGCTCCTCTAGATTTCTGGAAGACTTCAATGTTCCTCTCTGAAGACCCTAAAGATGGAAATTGAGGCCAAGAGAGCCCCTCACAGACCCATGTTAAACTGGTCCCAGGGAAGCCTCTTGAGCATCCAAAATTAAGGAGCATAGGCCTGTCATGCCCCAGTGTCAGCCATGCTGCTGGAGTCCTCGGTGGGAAAGTGTGAGGAAGGGGTGATGATCCCCCACATGCCCCTCTTGAGGGAGGCAGAGGCCTCTTGCTTACCCCATGTGGCCAGCCACTGTGCCAGGGCCTGGTAGGCAAGGCACAAGGTACAGAGATTTCAGAGTCTGGGGATGGGGTTAATCTCTACTGCCCCAGATGTCCAAATGGGGGGGTGGGGAGAAGTATCCCCCTGGTTCAGTGTCCCCGGCACAGAGCCTCAGGGAAGATGCTCTAGAGGCCCAGCTGTGCCTTCCTGCCTCTCCCCGCTCTGCTAGCAGCAGGCAGTTGCCTTAGCAGCTACAAGGGTGGGAGGTGAGGAAGAAAGTAGAAGCAGCTCATCCTTCCTTTCTTCTTCAGTGCAGTCAGGCCATCCTCAGATTGCCACGTTATTACCCCCTCTGTAGCAGGTTGGAAGGGGGAAGCCTCAGATGGACAGGTAAGCATGGCCATGGGGCCAAGGGGAAGAACACTGTTAGGGCCTGACCTTGGCTGCAGCTGCTCACACCTGGAGAGTGTGTGTGTATCGTGCGGGGGCAGTTCTGAGAGGCTCAGTGACGGCACAGAGCCTGAGCCACTCAGCAGCAGTGTCTAGGGCATGAGGTCTGATGGGAGGTGAGTGCCTAGGGCCTAGGGTCCAGCCTCTGTCCTACCTTCTGGCAGAAACAGAGCTGGAATCGGGGGGGGGGGGGAAACCAGGCAAGGGGAATGGGGAGTTCCTTCCAAGCTTCCTCTCTTGGGAGGAAGGCCCCCTTTTCCTGCAGGGTCTGGGGTAGGGTCCCTTCCAGGCAGGGTGACATCACACATCAGTCATCTCATCCCCCAGCTCTGCATCTTCTGGCTCTCCTTCCTCCTCCTCCTCTTCCTCCTCTTCCTCCTCCTCCGAGGTCACATTGGGTTCATCCGCCTCTGCCAGGCATTTGGGGCAGGAACAGACAAACAGATAGTTCTCTCTGCAGGGGATGGGGGATGGTGGTGAGGGTGAAGTCAGGCGGCCACTAGGATGGGGCCTCCCAGAGCCCAGCCACCCACCGCATCCCAGCTGGCACCTGAGGATCTTGTGGCGGCTGTGGCGGCTGCGCTCCCGCTGACAGCAGTCTAAGTAGCTGATACAGATTTCCTGGAGGGCAGAGAAGATGTGGCATCTGGCAGTCTGTGCTCTCTTAGATGGGAGCCTCTCCACCCACTGCCCCATCTCTACCCACTGCCCCATCTCCCAGACGCTAGGCCCTCATCCATTTCTCTGTGCCCTCAGCAGACCACAAAGAGGCTCCAACAACTTGTGTCTGAGACAGAGAGGGAACTGTGGTTAGCCTCGAGGTTATGGTTACAGGCAGTTGATGGCCAAGGTCATAGCTGGGGTCAGAGGTTATCTTGATATGATGCTACTTCCCCTGGAAGATGCATCGAGACTCTGTGTACTGTGCCCAGTCAGGACCCAAACCCACACATTCATCCACAGCCCAAGCCACAAAGAGCCATCTCTTGCTTTCTTAGAAGTGGATTTGTTGATTAAAAGGTGGCTAGGAAGAAGAATGTGGGCACACAGTTGCCCCTCAATCACTGCTCTGCGGCTTTCTGGCTATTTTGTGAAGAACTGGGGGAGGGGTGGGGTTAGAGCATAATCATGGGGAGAAAGACTCCTGTCCTGGGGCATGTGGGGATTCAACTAAACAGCCTGAACTGGGGGCCCTGGCTATCCTTTGGGGAGAACCTGCAGGGCCAACTGCCCCCTCCCCAACCCCACCCCCAGTTCCCAGCCCCTTCACCTCTCCTGGCTTGATATCCTCCAAGGCGGTGACATGCAAAAGGAAGTTGTTTTCTGGGAAAGTGGTCTCTGCATTGGGGACACAGCTGTGGTTACCTGAAAGAGGCAAATAATAAGGACTGTTGACTAATAAAAATAACAGCCTCAAGGTGCAGAGCGCTGGTTCCCCATCCTTCCCTGTTCTCTGATCCCTGCTGGGGCTGCACAGATCCTGGCACCCAAGCTTCCCAACTCCCTGTCTGGGGCTCTTTCCTGAAGACCACAGAGCACAGGCACACATGCACTTACTTCCTATCCCCTCCCACCTGCCATCACTGCCCCTGCTGTCCTCAACACTGGGCAGCTGGAGTCTCGCTTGTGTCTCCAGTGTCCCACAGGAGGAGCAGGGCTATGAAAGAACTCCCGTGCCTGACCACTTAACTCAGTCCTGTCTGGTAACAGCTGAGCCAAGGCTCTCTGTGAGCCTAGTTTGTGAGGGGCAGAATGGTCCCAGAGCCTGGGGGGGTGGGGCTTACAGTGAGGAAATCAGAGGGGGAGAGGCTGAGTCTGCAAAAGACAACTGTGTGAATTGGCTCTGCTCCTCCCTGTCAGGTGCTTATGAGACTCCCCTTCTCGCCTGAGCTCCCTCCTCCCAAGGTCTTGTAACACCCCCCTCCCGAACCTGACAGGGCAGTGGTGGTATATGCCTAAAATCAGAGTCTGTGTCGTACTTTAGCACAGGGCCTGGCCCCCTGGAAGGTCTGATATATACACATATATTAAGGCATGAACAGTCCAATAAATGAATGAATGAGAAAATCCCCAAAGAAGCTCAGACCCAATCCTGCTCCTAGAGTCCTCTCCACCAGCCTACAAGGGACCAAGTAGGAGAGATGTCCTGTGGCCGTAAGGCTACCCCTCCTTAATACCGGGACTCACAGCAGCTCTGAAGCACATACAGGCCAGATCCTTCACAGTTAAGAAACTCGCCAGTTGCTGTAAGACAGTAATATTCAGATATTATTCTATCCATTTTACTGGGAGGAAAAGAAAACAAGGGTTATGAGGATAGGCACTGGGTCTACTGTCTTGCCACTAGTCACCTGACCTTGCTTCTTGGAGGCACAAGCTTGCTTTCCCATAAATGGTATCACCTTACTTGTCCAGGACCCCCCAACCCTCAGGACCGAGCCTCTGTATGGATCTTGGGGTCATGGCTTATCTCTGTGTCCTGTGGATAGATCTACAGTTTCTCATAGGCACATAGGGATTAACTTCCCCAACTGTTCACTTAGAACTCCCTCAGGGGAAGACTGTATCTGAATGGGGGGCATCCAAGGTTGGGTGAGACCAAGGGTCCATCTCACCAACCTGCCTCGATGTCCTTGTACAGCTGGTCAATGAAGGCGTCCAGCTGCTCTCGGTCCTGAGGCTTCAGTTCCAGAGCATCACAGGCATGGACCCACTGGCTCAGGGAGCTGGGGGTCCCAGGCATCCATGGTTGGAGAAGAGGAGGCCCAGCTCACAGGACTCTCCACCTCCAGGCAAGTTAAGCCCACTTCTTTCTCCGGGGCAGAGGCCCATCTTCCCCAAAAGACCAAGGCTCCCAAGAGCAAATTTTACCACCTGAGCCTTTCTGACTCCCACCACTGCATCCAGTCCAGCGCTTGGGCCACAGAATTATACCTTACCCCACCCTAATCTTGAAAGAAGATGTGGCTACCTTCCTCTGTCAATCTCCCACGCCAGCCCTGAGAGACAAGTTCAATAGCTTTGGAACATTCCCTCCTAACCTGGTCCCAATTCCTTGGCCATTGGTCCCAACAAGAGCAAAGAGAGACCGGAATCCATCTGGTGTGAACCACTGTGGGGAGAAAGAAAAATGAGTGCACAGACTACAGTCACTCACTTTTCTTCCTGATACAACTCTCCATTTAGGAAGTCTTCTGTGAGTCAGTCCCATCCCAACTTCATACCAAGTCAGCTCGGGGTTAGCTCTTCAAGTAGGAGATGCTGACCTGGCTGCTCCTGGGGAGCTGGAATGGGTAGGAGGCCACTGGTCCCACCTTCCCCCGGCACTCACTCACCTGGCTGAGTGCCTCCTCATAAAGGGCCTCTGTGAAGAGCCTCCGCAGAAGTTCCAGCTGGCCCTGGTGTGGGGGAAGCAGGGAGAGACTTGTGTTCCTGGGGATTTGCCATTAGCACCCAGACAGGGCCCAGAAGACCGGGTGAGGGAAGGAAAGGGCCAGCTCTGTAGAATGAGCTTTCCCTGAACGCAAAGGAAGGCCACAGAGTCCTTATTTCCAAAGAACCTTGGCAGTCTGGTGGATGGTTCCAACCCAGGGTGGCAAACCCAAACTCCTCCCTATTCTCCAGCGCTTGTACCAGGAGGGCTGAGGCAACCTTGCCTGGAATGTCTGTCCTTACCACCATCTTCCAGGCCCCCTGACCTGGCCTCCGGGCCAGCCTGACTCCCTACTCCTGTCCCCAGAATGGATGTAGGAAGGCCTACCCCAGCTGTGTTTTCAACCCTGCCTGTGCTTTCAGGCAGCTCCTGCCTGGGAGTCTGCTATCCTCCTTGGGTGGGAGTAGGTACTCAGCACACGGGCAGCTAAAATCCTCCTGTTTCACACTGCTCCCTCACCCTAGGGACCCCCAGCCCGTTTTTCTCCGTTGTGACAGACCTGCCCGCTGCTATCCTGAGATTCTGCTTTATTATGTCAGGGCACCCAATCCTTCCTTCCTCTGTCATCATCCTACTTCTCAACTCTTGGTCCATGTTAGGTCACAAAGTTAAATAGTGGCAGGAATATAGGCCCTAGGCTCTAACCTCTTCCTGTGGCTGGGAAGGGACCAAATGTGCAGCTCCCATCAGGCAGCCACAGAACCTTCAAGGCTATTGGGGGTGGGGGGATCACAGGCAAAGACTAACCTTGAATTTGTCCCCCAGGAGTTTGTGGACAATTTCCTCCTCCTCATTGGCTGTTTTATTACAGAACTGGGAGAAGAGCCTGATCCAACGATCTTTATCCTTAGCCTGTAGTGAACAATGACCAAGTGAACAAATAGTCATGTTCACATATGCCCGTACATGCATGCATGTGCACACATGGACTTGGGGACGGCTGCCTCCTCGCTGCCCCCTGTGCCCAGGAGGGAGGGTAGGCTGTGATTCTAAAGCCCCTGCCATCAGGGAAACACCAGCACATATGAGATTCTTGGTAGACCCTTCCTTGGCCTGGGAGCTTCCTCCCCTCCCTGCCCACACCCAGCCATCTCCCCAACGGGGCCAGGCTGGCCAGTGTAACACTTAGGAAAGCAGGAGGATGAGGCTGTGGAGCTTCAATGTTAATAGAAGGTGTTGGAGTGGCTCCTCTCACTTTACATGTGAGGCACAATCCTGAAAAAGTGGCACCTGTAAGCTGAGTACGTGACCTGCTGCTGTATAGGACACCCTGTCTTAGACTAGAGGCTGCAGGAAAGATGAGTCTCCTGCCAGCCTTATGGGTTAGCTGCTCCTGATTTTACATAGCGCATAGCTCTCCTCTGGGAAGCCCAGGGGGAGCTCTTCATCCAAGTCAGGGTTTTGAGGTGAGTGGGGGAAGACTGTGGCCAAGGGGAAAATGAGGTCAGAACTGGCTTCCCTGAGAGGGATGGGTGGACTCACCTGCTTCACTGTGGCCACCATCCGGGCCATCAACATGATGCTTGCAGTCTCAGGGGGGTAGTGAACACTCCTGGGGTGAAAGAAAAAAAGATCTGGCCTAGAAATTCCCTTCCCAGTAGCTGCATTCAGGGAAGCCCAGTCTGATTGCTATGGAGAATCCTTCCTACCAGCTCCATTTATAACCAAAGAGAGGAAGTCATTGGCAAGGATGTGGGCAGGACTTTACATCCCTAGTGGCTCAATGGGGCTCTTCCTGGGAGTGTATACAATACTGAGGGTGGCGGGACTGGCGGTTCACATTGAAGGCAGGGGGTTGGGTGATGTGACTTCTGTTAAACCCTAAGAATGGAGGAAAAATCAGGGGGATGGCAGTTTAAGACAGATGACTGCACCTGCTGATCTCAAGCAGGCAGGCAAAGAGGGAAGATAAACGGAAGAGATGAAATGCTACCTACCTCCATGCCTCCTGCAGCTTATTGAGAGGATGCAGGGGGTCATCCTGGGAGGGCCCTGGGCACAGGACCTGATGATATTGCTCAGCAGCTGCCAGTCGACATTCTGCACTGCAGTACATCACCTGGATGAGTGGGTGGAGGTCAATACCCTAGGATCTGGCCATGGTATGAGGCACAGACGTTCCTCAGTGGTACTCACCTGCACTAACTGTGTTCCTTCTATGAATAGCCCCTGAGCGGTAGCTCTGTGGCATCATGAGCAGAAAGCATATAGTGTCCTGGGAGCATGTGAGAAGCGCACCCAGGCTTGTTAAACTATGGGAAGGAGAGAGCTTTCAGGTAGAGGGAAGAGCCCCTGCCAACGTCCTGGGAAGAGGGCAAGTTCTCATCAGACCTATTTTCTAGGGAGCGGGACAGGGGTAGGGAGGACACAAATGGAGCGGTAACTGAGTCTTTTGAATGTGTTCCCCTACATTATGGCTCTCAGGGGCCGTGACTTGCTCATGGTACTCACAGAGGACTTCAGCTAAGGCCTCTCCCCCAGCTCCCTTCCATGTGTACTCCCCAGGGATGCTCACCTGACAGTGGGGACAGTTCTGGTGGAGGTCCTTGCGCACAGCACACAGCTCAGGGTGAGGCAGAACCTGGCCTGGTTTCCCAGTCAGCCTCTGGGCATTCTCCTCTGCCTTCTCCAGTGCCCGAAGGCAGTGGTCACAAGCTGAGGGAGAGAGCCACACAGGACAATGTGAGTAGTGTCTTTAGGACAGGAGCCATGTTTTGTCTTTTTCACAGCAGCATCTCTAGGGCTAAAAATAGTGGCTGGCACATGGTAGGTACTCAGCAGACATTTGGGAAGTGAATGAACAACCGTGTTAAAGAACAGAATGAGTGAGTGAATGATTTCACAGGCATTCCAACGCCGATTGGTTTTCTTCCTTCTCTGGAGTTCCACCCCTCCTGTCAGGCTCTCCCCCCTTCCCAATGGGACTGAGTCTGTGGGGCTCTCCTCCTATCCCCTCAGAATGTGCTTTCCCCACATTCTGCAGCCAAGTGACCTCCTTTCATGTTTGTCTGTAGCCTAAGTGTGAAAAAAGCATATGGCTGGAAAAACTAAGTGCATTCTACTTCCTTCTGACCCCTAACTCAGCCTGTTTTGACCACAGGGCCCGTGGCCCTCTCTTGGAGGGGCTGCTCTTTGGCACAAGCCCTTTGGCATGACACACATCCCCCATACTCTGACTCAGTCTGAGTTCCATCTGAGTGACAGTCCTCCCCCAGGGAGCAGACTGGAAGAGCCCCTCTACCACTCATTTGCAGTCCCAAATGCCCTGACACTAGACAGCAGCATGGTTCTCAGGCACAGTTCTCCAAGGGAAGATGAACTTTTCTCCCAACACCTGAACTCCCAGAGACACCAGAGACACAAAGACAGCTAGGCCCAGCAGCCATGAGAAGTGGACAAGATGTGCTCACCTCGGTAGCGATAAAGTGCATTCCAGAGAAACTGTGCAGCCACCAGGGGCCGTTCTACAAAGACGGTCTCCCCCTTCCGGATCAGTTGTGTGGCAAACAGCCCCTTTCCCTACCGGGGAGAAAAAGGAATAGGATGGCCATAAAGAGAGAAAGAGGACACTGCTCCAAGGATTCCCAGAGGGCTGCCCAGCATCACCCCCCATTCACCTCCCTCTCAGGAGAGGCTTCTGCCTTGGGAGGGTTGGTGGAACATGGTCAGCATCCTCTCATAACTGCCTCCGCTGACCTACTTTCAGCCACACTTCTGTCAGCCTCTCCAGAGCAGAGGAACTGGGATGCGGAGGGAGCCGCCATGTCAGTCAGAGGAGGAGAATTTTTGGAAAGGCCAGAGGAGCACTGAGGCTCCTGTACCAGGAGGTGGTAATGACAGGGTGGTCTTCTTGGAGTCACCCATGTGCCCCCCTCCAGGATCCTGGCAATGATACTGCTGCTCAGGGTTGCAGAGGACTCCTATGCCACAGTAGAGGGAAGCCTAGTTGGGGGAGAATGTGCTGTATTCCCCTGGTCAGTGGGGTACTCAAAGGACACAACAATTTCTCAGTGTTACACTGAAAGGAATGACAAATTCTAGCATCAACCCTAATACTACTTGCTGTGAACCTTGGAGCCAATTGCTTCACTTCTTTGCATCTGTTTCACATATGAAAATTATAACAATACCTACGGTAGTTTCCAGGATGCACCTCAACCCAAGCTCACCTTATGAGCTTTAGCTTCTTACTACTCAAAATGAGGTGATGGATGGGCAACAAGGGCATCCTCTGGAAGACTTAGAAATGCAGAATCTCAGGCCCCACCCGAGACCTGCTGAGCAGAATGTGCATTTTAACAAGATGCTCAGATGATGCACATGCATGTTAAAGTCTGAGGACTGTGGTCTAAAGCACTGTACACAGCCTGTAAGACATGAAGGTGATGCAGAGGGGCTCAGGAGATAGCCTCAGAACCCAGGCAGTTACTGGCCCTGCTGGGCACTTACTCTGGAGGTACACTTAGAGAAGAGGGGTAGTGCCCCTGACAGCACTGAATTGACACAAAAAGAGAACGAAAGAAGGAAGGAAGAAAGTAAGGAAGGGAAGGGACATAGCAGTGAGACGTCCCATCATGTGCCCTCTTAGGTAGCTCCCAGTTTCCTTCCAGCATTGGCACTATGGCTAGATAGCAGAACCTCCCAAAGTCAGAGAAGCAGGAATGTGTAAACCAGGATGGCCTGGAGCAACCCATGAGCTACAGATCTCAACCCTGAATACTCTGGGAGCTCTAAGTGCAGAGTGGAACAGCTGGACAAAACCTCTTGCCAAAGCCATTGATGTATCCTTGGTTGTCTTCTTGGAACCCCACCTCCGTGCCTTTTAGCGCCAGACCCAATCTAGCAAAATGAAAAGATGGCCTTCTTCAATGGGACAAAGGGATATCAACATGGACCCACATTATTGCTGACAATCTCAAATCTCAACATTGGGTAAATAACGATGTCTTTCTCTCTCTTTCTGGAGGACCGAATGCAGAAAATATTTAGTCATCAAAACAAAGGGAACAGAATCAGAGCTGGTTCCTTTATGAAACCACTCATCCCCCCAAACATAAGACAGTGTTTCAAGAAAAGCAGCTCTCATTTATATTACCAAGACGCTTGGAGAGAAGTAAACCTGAATGCAAAGGGCATAAATTTGCAAAGATATTTCCAATTTGAAAAATACATTTTAGAAAAAAATATTGTGCAAAATTCTATGACTATGTAGTAAATTTTAAAAGCTTTACTAAATGGATAATTTTCTAGAAAAACATAAATCACCAAAACTGAATTCAAAAGGAAGAAAGCCTAGACAAAGAAGCAGTGCGGATTATCTGGTTGACCTGCACCAGTATGGCACTCTGGTTGGCATCCATCATCTTTGGTCAGCCACTATCATGTTCTGATTGGTACTGTCCCTGGCACAGTAGTTGGTCAGTCTTTAAAAGATCGCTCTGGCAAATATCCAGAAAAGCAATAGAGAAAATAGTCAAAAACAACTCCCATGTGAGGCCCCTAGTCCATATGGCTTATGACCCACCTCTCTCAAGCCAAAGAATAAGTAATTCTTATGCTATTTTAACTATTCAGTAACAGAGAAAAATGGGAAGCTTCTCCATTCTACCAAAAAAAAACCAAATATAACTCTGATGTAGTAATTTGAGGAAGATAGCACAAAGGAGAAACCTCACAAATCAATCTCGCTTGATGAATATTGATGTAAAAAGCTTGGCATAATCCATCTTGTCACCATGTCTGGGTGGGTATGTGATTTTCTCCAGCTGCAGATCAGGTGTGGGCATGGAGGGGGTGGCCAGCTCATTCTTCTAGGGGTGGGGTTTGATAGAGGGCTTGGAAAGGTCAAGTGGACAAGCAGAATGGCTGATGTGATGAAGTGAGAGGAAGAAGGAAAGAGAGGAGGGGCTGAGACAGGGGGTGCAGTGAAGGGAAAGGTGACTATCTTTGTGTGCTAGGAGTGATAGAACCCAGACACCATCAAACTATGACCTAGTCAAGAACCCCAGAGGCCTGTGGTGGATATGGAAATGTGAGCAGCTGAGAACACCAAGGATATAGGGGAGCTGCTTTATCATGGAAGGAGAGGAATGCTCCAGATGTGTCTTGGAATGGAAAGAAGGCAATAGTGGGTTGGGTTGGGGAGATGGGGAGGCAGATGACTACAAGGCTGACCTCTTGGGCAGGGTCCAGGAATACACACAGCCATTACTCATGATAAATTATTCAACTTCCTCAGTAAACAAAGAAATGTATATGAAAGTGATACCATTTTCCACATATCACTTGGCAAAGTTAACTGGGAGAGAAAACACTCTGCTGAAGGGAACAAAAGGATGTGTGCACAGAAATTGAGCTTCAAGACCTCTGATCTCAGAGATGAAAAAATAAAATACAACATACAAGTCCACAAATAAGTAGTTGGTTGAATAACTGCGTCCATCCCGTGAAACAGCTCTTAAAAATACGTAGAAATAAAAAATAATAATAAAAAAACAACAACGTAGAAGTAGGTTTATTGATGTGATTTACTACTGCATCAAACAGCGATTTCTAAAATTGTAATTTTAATATTCACATATTTGTACATAGTACAGGATTATGAGTGATTTTTACTTTCTCTTTCCTTACATGCATTTTCGGTATTTTTCTATAACTTTTAAAACACGATAATCTAACGACAAAATTACGTCACTCTCCTATTTAAACGCTTCAAATGCTCCCAGGGGCTTCGAGCTCTGGTCCAAATTTCTTAGCATCCCAAGGCCTTTCATGGAAGATCCTAGTCTCCCTCCACACCCCACCCCCAAATCTCACTTAGAAAGATCCCTGAGGGCCCAGGCTTGTTTCTACCTCAGTTCCCTCCGCTCAGCATGTCCCCGCCCACCACCCCCGGGGCCCAGCCTGGCGCGTAAGCCCCGGCGCCCCGCGTCCCCTACCCCCGGCCCTGCGTGGAGCGGCGGGAGTAGGGCCGCCGGCGGGCGCTCCGGGTTCCGCGGAAAGGGGGAACGAACGGAGACTTCGGAGCCCCCGATCCACCGCGTGACCTCCCCGGAAGCCTTCGCGCGGGGACAGACAGGGAGCCCCCGGGCCGCGAGTAGGGAGCGAGCCGCCGAGTCCGGGCAGCACAGGAGCTTCTAGGCTCCGGGCTGGGATCCCACGTGGCTGTCTCCATAGCCGGACAGAGTGGGGGCTCCCGGCGGCTCTGCCTTGGCCTTACCTTAGCGCTGCTTACGAAACGGACTTCCACCGCGACCCGGGCCTTGCCCGCCACGCCCACGCAGAAAGAGAACACGTCGCCCATGGAGGCCGCCATCTTGGGCGCGCCTCCGCCTTCTGACCCTTGACCTCGCCTCGACCCGGGAGGCCCCGCCCTCTCCGGCCCCGCCCCCGGCGTGTGTGTCTCAGAAGGCGTGAGGGTTTGCGCTCTAGGGAGTCCGAATTTGGATCCCTTTAATCTATGTTTAGGTCGATTGGCTGGATGTAGCTGGGTCTGCCTTTGTGTTTTACATCTGTGCGCTTTTGCGTCTGTGTCTCCGTACGTACCGGTGTGTGTATAGTTTTGATGTATCTGTGTACGGTTCGTGTTTCTGTGCCTGTTGTCTCTCCACCCAGTGGCCGGAGTCCAGCGCTCTTCGGACCCAGCCGAGGGGTGGGACAGCAGCCGGCCGATTTCTACCGTCTCGGATCTACTTGAAAGGAAGGACTAGCTTACTGCACCTATCCATCCTACTCAGTCGGGTGCAAGAATTCCCTTTTCCTTAGGCCTTCTACGGCAGATCAAGCTGGAATTGTGCTTCTCTCAGCCCCTAAGGGGGTTTAGGGACCTTGCAGCCTAGGGGTGATGGAAGAGGGTATAGACCTCAGGTCTGAGGACCCCTGAAATTGTATGCAGAAGTAGTGTCATATGCACATTGTCCTGGAAACCGAAGAGGGGCCTGTTTTCTCATTCAGGACCCCAAGAAGCTGAAACCACTGACTTAAAGCATCTATTCCCACAGCCAAGCCTGATCACCATGCCTTTTTGTCCTCCAATTGATTTTGCGCTCCTTGAAAAAGGACGTGTGTCTGTTCTGTTATGGTCTCATGGTGACACTGGGGGATTGGGTAGAGCCCAGTAACTGCTGAACAGGTTAACTGTTGATTTTTTTTTTATTTTTAAAAAGTTAAGTCAATTGAAGAGGCAGGTGCTAGAAGAGGTAGATGGCAGCTGGATCCCTTTGATTGAGAGAGTTGACTTTGGGTCCAGCATTAGGAAGGATTTCCCTTAAGACTGGGAGAGAGAAGGGTTCTTGGGGCTAGACCCTGGCCTCTCTGAAGCCTGTGACCTAGTATCTAAGAGAGGCTGGTCTACCACTACCTTGGAAGCATGTGGTTTTCCAGGGCGACCTCTGCTCCCTGCCTTTCCTCTTTCCTTCAGAACACTGCCAACAGCAGTGGGGACCATGCCTTCTCTCACCACGAGGTGGCAGGGCAGGCCTCTTTTCACCAGTTCACCTCACTATGGAGAAACCATCCTAGGTTCTAAATCAATACCCTTAACAGAGGCCTTTCCAGGAATGAAGAAAGCTAGAAAAATCAGGTCTGGAATTGCTGGTGATTGGCCTCACATGGGTAGACTATCAGCAGGTTTCTTATAGAAAAACTTAGCAGCTTCCTGGGAAGGAAAGCAGATCATGAGTTAAGATCTTGAAGGGGGAGAAGTTATAAGTGTCTCCTGGAAATAAGCAGAGTTGGTGACAAAATGCCTGCGTTGGCAAAGGTAGAGCCAAATTTCTCTATTTTATGTAATGGTGGAGAGGAATGAGGGTGGATAACTATAGGGGAAAAGATGGTGGCCAGGGTAGCATGCCTGCTTCTACTCAGGCAGCTGGGGCTGAGCTACTGAAAGTGGTAATAGTTCAGACAAAATAAGAAAACTTTGGGAAACTCCAGGAAGGCAAGTAGGCAAAACATTTTACCTTTCCCTCTTTGCTCCCAACTCCACCACCTTCAGAGGGCAAGAGGCTTCTAGGCCCAGACACTGATTCAGGGAGGCCCCTTCTCAGCCAGGCCAGGTCAGTAACAGATGAAATACCTGGAGAGGCCAGTTCTGGTGTAAGTACCACACCAGAACGCAGATTTCCCCAGGTGAAGGAAATTTAGAAACCTTAACAGTTACTGAACACTTAGCACCCAGTCTGGTACACTGTAACAGCTTTACAGACATTCTGTCAGCTCTGGGAGGACTAAGTTGTTAATGCACCCATTACACAGATGAAGAAAAAGGCCTCAGTAGTTCCAGTTAGTTCCCCCAAGAAGAACTAGCCCAGATGGCCTCGGGCTCTGTCCCAGTCCTCAGCTGTCCACTCCTGACTCAGTGTCTTCTCTCTGTATGCTGTTGTCAGAGCTGCTGGAGGGCTCATCCTGGGGGGCAGCCACGGCAGATACAGCTGGCAGCTTCAGCCTTTGCTGCTTCTGATACTTGACCCTGCGGTTTTGGAACCAGACCCTCACCTACAATCAGAGGCAATGGTCAGAGGCTGGAATATGACCAGCAGCTCCCCTGGTTCCACACCCACCCCCCCCGCCCGACACACAGTGACAACTGCTCTTTGGGCCCACATTCGCTCTTTTATATATGTATGTATTTTTGAGAGACACAAAGAGAGGCAAAGATATAGGCAGAGGGAGAAGCAGGCTCCCTGCGGGGAGTCTGATGCAGGACTCGATCCCAGAACCCCGGGATCACACCCTGAACTGAAGGCAGATGCTCAACCACTGAGCTCCCCAGGCATCCCTGCTCTTTCTTCTAACAAAGCATCTCCTCCCAAACACCTTTCCCTATAATTTCAGACACCACTTGTTCATCCAACAAATATTTATTGAGCTCCTGTTATGTACTAGTTACCATCCTAGGTGATGGTGATACATGGTGGAGCAATAGAGCTATGGTCCCTGACCTCATGGAACTCACAGTCCAGAGAAAGGAAAATAACAAAAATGGAAACAAAGAAATACATAAACACAAATGGGGGTTTGATCCTCCCTGAGGAATCAGCACTTAAGCTGAGGTTGAAGGATAAGAGGCTGGTTTAATGGGACAGAGAAAAGCAGGCTGGAACAGGGGACGACATGTAGGAAAGTGTGGTGTGCTTGAGGACCGGAAAGGAGAAGAGCATGGCTGAAGTATCTGAGACGGAGATGGGGAAGTGAAGGAAGGGAAAATGAGAGGAGTCAGCAGAGGCCAGATCACCTAGGACCATGGAAGCTATGTGAAGAATATAAAAGGAGATGCAGAAAGATGGCTGAGAGGCTACTGCAATGATCCAGAAAGAAGCTGGGATTGGGATGAACTAGGGGCAATGGAGAAAACTGAAGTGATCCTGTATTTATTTTTTTTTTTTGGATCCTGTATTTTGAAGGTATCGGTGACAAGGCTTGCTGATGGACTGGAGGTGGGAGAGAAGGAGGAATCTAGGATGACTTGGTATTTTGAGCAATTGGATGGATGGTGGAGCCATGAGTTAGAGAGAGGAACAGATCTGGAGAGGGAAAAGGTCAAGAACTGAGGTTTAGGTTTGTTAAGTTTGAAATGCCTACCCAGAAGACATCCAAGTGGAGACCTCAAGAAGGTAGGTAGATGTACAAGTGAGAAAAAAAGGAGTGGGGACGCCTGGGATGCTCAGTGGTTGAGCATCTGCCTTTGGCTCAGGCCATGATCATGGGGCCGCTGGGGATCGAATCCCGCATCGGGCTCCTTGGAGGGAGCCTGCTTCTGCCTGTGTCCCTGTCTCTCTCTGTATGTCTCTCATGAATGAATAAATAAAATCTTTTTTAAAAAAAAAGAAAAAGAAAAAAGGAGTGGGTGGAGATATAAATCTGGGAGATGGTATTTAAAACCGTGGGGATAAGGACGCCTGGGTGGCTCAGCAGTTGAGCGGCTGCCTTCGGCTCAGGGCATGATCCTGGGGTCCTGGGATCGAGTCTCACATTGGGCTCCCCACCAGGATCCTGCTTCAACCTCTGCCTGTGTCTCTGCCTCTCTGTGTCTCTCATGAATAAATAAATAAAATCTAAAACAAACAAACAAACAAACAAACAAAAAACTGTGGGAATAAATGAGATCAGCTGGGGAGACAAATTTGAGGTCACAAAGAGAAGAGTACCCCTACAGAGATGACAGAGAAGTGGCCAGAGAGCTGGTAAACCAAGAATGTGGTACCCAGAAGCCAAGGGAAGTATGTGTCAATAGAGAAGGTGCAGTCAACTGAATAAAAGGAGGACAGCATCTGCTGAGTTTGGCAACCTGGAGGTCATTAAGGGACCCAGAGGAGAAGTTCCGATGGAACAGTGGGGAAAGAATTCATATTGGAATGAGTTAAGCAGATGGGAAATGAGGACACAGAGTGACTATAACAAGTTCTTGGGAAGTCTGCCTATGAAAAGAGCAGAAAAATGGTGTAGTGGCTAGAGGAGAATATGGAGATCAAGGGAATGTTTATTACTATTTTTAATATTTTGTCCTTGAACATACTTAATTTCACTGTCAGCTTCTTTTTTTTAACATGGAAACATAAAGTTCTAGATTAATATCTAGATTGTGTGTCATTCCCATAATGTGGTTTCAAATGGGACTATTTTGCTCATTCATGTAGGGAGTGTGCCAAAGATTATGGCTTGCCTCCCCCAGTGGCCTGGCCCAGAGGCAGAGGGTCCATGTCTCCCCCCAACCTCACCCAGGGCCTTCTGGTCTGCCTCCATGTACAGCCATGGTCCTGCAGCAGTCCCCTGCTCTCACCTGATTCTCTGTAAGGTTGAGCCGGGCTGCTAGCTGAGCTCTCTTCTTCCCCACAAGATTGTGCTGCTTTGTAAAGACGTTCTCCAACTCTTCCAGCTGCTTCAAGTTAAACATAGTCCGAACCCTCTTTTGGGGTCTCTCAGTGTCCTGAAGTTCCTCTGCTGCAGCCCAGTCTGGGGTACCCCAGAAGCCTGAGCAGTGAGCCAGCTCTAAGCCTAAAGAGCATACGTACACACACACAGACACACACAAACAATATGCATAAAATACCTCTGGATGGATAAAGAGATTGGTATCCTTGGCTGCTTGTGGGGTGGGGTTAACCAGGTGACTGGGGAACAGGAATGTTAAGGGAAATTATCTAACTTAAACATTTTGAAGTTTGAGCTGTATGAATGTAATAACTACGCAAAAACGAACTTGAAAATGAGATCACTGTAATATAAGATGGTAAACTGCAATTCAGAGCTCCGCAGTGTGAGGAGGTTAAGGAAAAGTGGCTTGGAGCCATGCGCACGTCGCTCAGATGCAGTGGCAGGAATTTGGATGGGGTAGAGAGCCTAGAA